TACTGGTAATGATAATAATAATAAAATTGCTGTAACAAAAATTGCCCATACGAATAAAGGTAACCCCCGAGTAGCTTATCGGGGGTGCCCCCACACTGTCAGACAGTGTTCACACTAGAATTCTGAACTACAGCATGTTTATCAGATTGTCCGTGATGCCGCTACCGGAACGTACAGCACGTAGTTCGCCTCTCAACAATCCTGCAAGCTGGGCCAAGTCAGTATCAAACCGTTAGGTGCGTGTGGCCGTCTATGCTCTCAATGACGGGTTTCTTCATGGAAATCAGTGGTCATGGCAAGGTGGCCGAGCGGTCCAAGGCGTGTGACTCAAGCGAAAGCTTGCCTGCTCAGCGGGTTTCTCATCCGAGTAATCGGGCATGGGTTCGAATCCCATTCTTGTCAGCCGTTGCTTTTGCTGCAGATACTGGTGATAATCGAGCCCTCCTAGGTGTGCAGCCTCCGGAGTCCCAGGGCGCCGTAAGACGACCCCATTTCCACATGCACAGGTTCGTGGAATCTCACAGCCACCTGAGGTACCTCTCTGGCACAACGTTGACGTTCTACCCCTGTGGCACTGGGTGCGTGCAGTCCGAATCCGGAATCGCGTGTCCTACGCGGCCAAACGTAAGAGAGCTTGCGGATGAGGTTTACTGATCGAAGCTATCAGTGCTTGATCAGCAGAGCACTTGACCGTTCGGTGACTGACGAGCTGCAATTTAAGGCGAGGCCAACAAATATCCTGTGGATCGCACTCAAGTTGGAACACTCTTCCACTCGGACGAACCTCTGATCAGCATGGACGCAGCCCTTTACAAAGACGCAAAGGTCTCGCGTGGGTTCAATTATCACTACTTCTACTCCCCCGCGACATCTGGGTATCCCACTCTGCTCCTCATACATGGCTTTCCCTCGAGCTCCTTCGACTGGAGTAGACAAGTCGAGTACTTCCGACCCAAGGGATATGGCCTTCTCGTGCCGGACCTCATTGGCTCTGGTGGAACGTCCAAGCCAGAGGATCCGGATGCGTTTCGCCTTGTCGGGATCGCGCGGGACATTGTCGACCTCCTCGACGCCGAGGGCCTCGACAAAGTCGTCGGGATTGCGCACGACTGGTGAGTACTCGATGAAACACTTCTGGCGACCTGACGGATGCTAACGCGGCGTCTTTATGGATAGGGGCTCCGTAGTAATGTCACGTCTCGCGAACCTGTACGACGAACGGTTCTACGCGTACGCATGGAACGCCGTCGCATACCAACCACCGCGACCGCATCCGATCGACGTCGACGCCCTTATCCAACACCTGAGCGCGAATACCGGGAACGGGCACTTTGGATACTGGAAGTTCTTCAACTTGAGCGACGCACACGTGGTGTGTGAGCGTAACGTGAGCACCCCTTAGATACACAAGACGTTCGCTGACGTGTTTCCTTCCAAGATCGACTCGTTCTTGCAGCTCGTGTATCCGACGTCTCCCGAGGTCTGGCTCGAGTGGCTCACACCGGTCGGCAAAGTTCAGCAATGGGTAGAGGAGAATCGCACCCCCGGAATCCCTCAATGGCTCACGCAACAGGTCAGTAAGTTACAGACATAAGAAAGCCTTACAAGCTGACTCCATGCACAGGAATATGATATGCTGCGGAAGGCCCTGGTCGACGGCGGCCTCCAGTCGATGATGAACTTCTACAGGGCAGCGGTTGACAATTTGAACGTTCCGGACGACAAGAGTGTGTTCCGACATGATTCGCCGCTCCGACTTACGTTAACCATTATTGGATTTATGTAGAGATCCCCGAGGAAGCCTGGACCATCCGCAAGCCGGCGCTGTGGATCGCGGCGTTGCGCGACGCAGCCGGCTCGCCCGCGACTAACAGACCGAACGTCGAGAAATACGTCCCGGGAGCGAAGATCGTAGAGCTGGACGTTGGCCACTGGGTCCAGTTCGAGGCGACTGAACGATTGAATGCGGAATGGGAGGCGTGGATCGAAGGGCTCGGCCTGCGAGGCGCTACAGCGGCGTTGTAAGTTTGTAGGAGGATGATCCTAAAGCATCGTTGATACAGCAGACACAACATTGTACATTACATCGATATCATCTCAAACATGAAGCTATACAGGTAGAATTCGAGTCTTTCTCCAACAATCGTATCAGTCCACAGGAAATCTCCTCGTACGCCGGTAAAACCTGCTAGTCTGATATCTTGTAGTCCTCCGTGATGGCACCTAAATGCGGGATAAGGGCAGCGGGTACCGTACCAGCAGTCTTCGCAGGTGCATCCGCCCCACACGCCCTCTTCTCCGGTCGCTTCTCTGCTCCGTGGACCTCATCTATGGGTGTGCAGCGAGTAGTCGACGTCGAGAGTAAAGAGGCTAACGGGCGCTTATACGCCCGTTCTTAACACAAACCATCACGCAGACTTCAGGCTCATGTGGACGTTTTGGCCTGACTCAAACATCTAAAACATATACAAGTACAACAAAATACAGTCCGTGCACTCATAAGCTCCTGAAAGCGACGTAACATTCTACGTCTAACCTCTTAGACTTGACGCTCATGACCTCTACCTTCGCACTCGCTTCCTCGGGGGTTCGTCGCTGATGTCCTCAGGGCGGCTTCACGCATTTTTTGTGGGTCCCTGGTCTATGAATGAAAGGTGAGTACATGCATTTGATTGGTGGACGCGCGTACTTACTGTGCGTCGCTCATAATAATTATCTAGCTCCACGCTGTCCGGCTCCTCGCAGGAAGGGCTCTCCCTGCTTTCCCGGTCCTTCGCCTCCTCGCTCTCCTCGCGCTTGGGCCTCTCCCGTGTCCCATTCGTAAGCCGCGGGTCCTCCTTCACATTCGCGAAGAAGTGTCTGCTCGGCGCGAGGCGCATCCTCTGCACGCGCTGCACCCTCGCTTCGCGGCCCTCGACAACGTCCACAAGGATCCCAAGCTCCCGAAGCTAGTCTCGGGTCGTCGCATTCTGCGACACGAGAGACTCGATATTTTTCTGCGCTGCCCGAAGGGCCGCGACGATTGGATAGAGGACCTCCAGACGCGGCGTGGGTCACCTGGCGGTGCGTCGTCCCAGGCCGGCTGGGTGCCCGTCTCCGACATCGTCCCCGCGTACTTGCCCGACTATTCGTGGCGGAGCGGCGCGTGCTGGCATCGAGACGTCAGAACTCTAGACCACAGGCGACTAAACTGGCGACCTTCCTGGGGCCTCCTTCGGACTGGTACGCGGACATGCCGAGGCAGTCGCGTCTGCACGGCTTGGGCGAGCGCGCACGGCTGTCCGCGACTTGACCGGGCTGCTTGCGGATGAGGTGTACTTATCGGACTCGGAGCCATTGGTGCTTCATCAGCAGAGTATTTGGCCGCTCGATGACCAACGAGCTGCATTTAAAGCGAGGCCTACACACATCTTGTGGATCGCACTCAAGTTAGATCACTCTGCCACTCGCCCGACGAACCTTCGGTCAACATGGACGCAGCGCTCTACAAAGATACGAAGGTCTCAAGAGGGCTCAATTATCACTACTTCTACTCCCCCGCGACATCGGGGTATCCCACCCTGCTCCTCATACATGGCTTTCCTTCGAGCTCCTTCGACTGGAGCAGACAGGTCGAATACTTCCGACCCAAGGGCTACGGCCTCCTCGTGCCGGACCTCATTGGCGCTGGCGGAACGTCCAAGCCAGAGGATGCGGACGCGTTTCGCCTCGTCGGGATCGCGCGGGACATTGTCGACCTCCTCGACGCCGAGGGCCTCGACAAAGTCGTCGGGATCGGGCACGACTGGTGATTACTGGTTGCGACGCTTCTGACGGCCTGACTTATGCTAACGCGGCTTTTCCTTCGTATTTGTGAACAGGGGCTCCATAGTACTGTCCCGTCTCGCGAACCTGTACGACGAGCGGTTCTACGCGTACGTGTGGAACGCCGTCGCGTACCAGCCGCCGCGGCCTCATCCCATCGACTTCGATGCCCTCATCCAACACCTGAGCGCGCATACCGGGAACGGGCACTTCGGATTTTGGAAGTTTTTCAACTTGAGCGACGCACACGTGGTGTGCGAGCGTAACGTGAGCACTCCCTGTATGATATACACTGATACGACTGACATACATTCTCTTTAGATCGACTCGTTCTTGCAGCTCGTGTATCCTACGCGCCCCGAGATCTGGCTCGAGTGGCTCACGCCGGTCGGTAAGAGCCAGCAATGGGTAGAGGAGAACCGCACCCCCGGAATCCCCCAATGGCTCACGCAACAGGTCGGTAAATAATAGAAATCATGAAACCTTTGCTGATGCCGTGTGCAGGAATATGACGTCCTGCGGAAGGCCCTGGCCGACGGCGGCCTTCAGTCAATAATGAACTATTACAAAGTGGCTGTCAACAACTTGAACCTCCCGGACGACAAGAGTGCGTTCTGACGTTGACCTGATTTGTCGTCTCGACTTACGTTGACCACTGCCGGATTTTGATAGAGATTCCTGAGGAAACCTGGACCATCCGCAAGCCGGCGCTGTGGGTCGCGGCGTTGCGCGACGTGGCGGGCTCCGAGTCGGCCGAGAGTTACAAACCGAACCTCGAGAAATATGTTCCGGGTGCGAAGATCGTAGAGCTGGATGTGGGCCACTGGGTCCAGTTCGAGGCAACTGAGCGGTTGAACGCGGAATGGGAGGCGTGGATCGAAGGGCTCGGCTTGCAAGGCGCTACGGTGGCGTCGTAAGCTCGTACGAGGATGATCCCAAAGCATCGTCGATACAGCAGATACAAATTTATACAGTACATTGATATCATCTCAAACATGAAGCAGTATACAGATAGCGGCCTTATCCAGTAGCAGTCCATCGGAAATATCCTCCCTCGTGAACGGGTCTCAACCTTCTAGTCTGACATCTCGCAGTCCTCCGTGATGGCACCTAGGGGCGGGATAGCGGCAGCGGGTACTGTCCTGGCAGCCTTCGCAGGTGTATCCGTCGCACGCGCCCTCTTGCTCGGCCGCTTCCCTGCTCCGTGGACTTCATCCATGGGTGTGCAGCGACGTTTCTTGTTGCCCGATCCGGGAGGCACCAATTTGCGGTCTTCCGTCAGCTCGAGCACCTCAGACACACGGACGTCCCTGCAGAAGAAGTCGAATCAGAAGAGATCAAATATGAGAAATCAAGTACATACTCCTCCTCAGAGTCACGACGGTACGCATGTCGGCGCATCAGGATCTCAGTGGCCTTTGCTCCAGTGACACTACAAGCGGATTCGGATCAGCGATGTAGAAACCAAGAAACGCACAGAAGTACATACCGGCGGAATTGTTCCCGGATGACGGGGTCCTCCTCGTCGGACAACACCTCGACCTCGTTCCCGGCCTCGTCGATGCGCGTCGGCTTCGCCTCGTTCCAGATCTCGCTGT